CCATGGAAGCTTACGGTTTCGAACTTGTACATTGCCTCCCACAGGTCCCCAGTGGAGCAAAAGCTGTTTGATATTATGGGCTTTGATGATGCTTGTCTCTAGCAGAAACAGGTGCTGACACTATGAAAGCAAAAGCTATGGAAAGGAAAGTCCAGAGAAAGGAACAAGGAGGCTTCCAGGGAGAAATGAAAATGTTTAATAATTTCTCTGATTAATCAATAGTGCTGGACTTAACAGCTTTTCTTTTTCAAACAGTAATTATTTCAGTATGCGTTATGATTAAAATGCAGCAAGAAGGGTGGAGGACAGAAAGCAAGTGGCTGCTGCTTTAGGGAGGAGCTGAACATGGGCCTAAATATGATTGTATCTACGCTCAGACACTACACCCATCCTCACAATATCCCACAGCCTTTCTCCTGGGCCAGCAGTAATCGTAGGACTAATGGTGAACTCTCCAGTGTTTTGGCTTGCCGTTAGTGACATTCCAGTTTAAAAATGTTGCAATTATGGTCAGAATATTTTTTCAAACACTCATACCATCATAAACAGATTCATATATATTTTTCAATTCCTAGGAAATCTCAGAGTGGGGCACTTAATTCTAGACATGTGGGTCAACAACAGCATCTAACCCTAATTACAATTGATTAGTCATTGTCTCATCCACTGTAGACCCAAACAGTGATATTCATTTAGCCTCTACATGTATATTCAATCATGCACTAATGAGATCCCTAAGGGAATTTGGCATATGCTTTACTAGTTTGACTTCTGACCTCCTAGCAGCTGTATATTTATACTTTGCATTCAACCATTCAGCTCCATGTTTTTCCAATTATACCTTACCATGTGTATGCTATCAGAGGATATCATTCAAAATGAAGTACACTTGGAAGACATTAAAATAACTAATTCACATCATTATTCACATACTTTTAAATATGCTTTATATGTCGTCTTGGACCTGAACTACAGTAATTTAGAAGTCACAATCATTTTTTTCCCCTCATTCTAATAGTGGCCCTATTTTCTACATCCCTAAAGACATATTATAAACAATACTTGCTAATGACAAAGTCATTGATTTACAGTCTAAATCTTGGTTTGATGATTGGGAAGGAAAAGGAAGGAAAACTTCATTCAACTAGAGGCCTACCAGACACCCTAGCTTCTATCTGATCTCCATGCCGCTCGATTACACTCGCAGGGTTTAACCATTCGGGCAGCTCTGACAGAACACAACTGTGCAACACAAGCTGAAGTTCAGCCAAATCTGCTTAAGATCCAAATAAACTTAGGATTACACTTATCCATAGCTTTTCTTCTTTGTTATCTGTATATAAACGTGGGTTTAAGGCACTAGGTTCGGTCTGTGTGATTGGCAAAATCCTTCAAACACTTGCCAGTTCCAGTCTCTACCAAGCCTGTGCTATATATAGTATTAAACTACAGGCTCTCTGGAGCCTTTCCTATTCAATTTTGTGAAAAGGTATCAGTAGCAGCTGAATATGGCTTGCAGACCTGAGCACAAACTATTGGTATTAAAAAGGAATTATGCTGGAAGTGGAGAGCGATAAATCAACACAACTTTGCCCAAGGTTATGCTTGTATTAGGGACAGTTTCAGAAAGCAACAAGATTTTGGTATTTAATTTGTTCAGGAACCTTGGAAGATGCCAGCAGGTATCTCTCAGGAAAAAAACCTAAATATTTTAGATTTCTAAATCTAAAAAAATGGCTCTAAAAATCTACAGGTGCAGAAAACTGACAAATACTATTATTATTTACTGCCTGAAAGATGCCAGAAAAGCTGACAGATATGTGTGTGTCACTTCACTGCTGTTTTCCAGGAGCTATCTCTTCAGATGGGGAAATGACATTGAGAAATGAAGGGAAAGAAATTTTGTTGCAACATATAGCTTGTCACGAAGAGCCAGAGGGCTTATAATCTGTGATATCAAATAGTTAGACACTTTCCTTCCTTCAGAAGATAAGAAACTTTGATTCTAGCAACTGTAAGTATTTAAACTTCAGCGCATAAATGATCGTGTTATTTCCTTCTTTTATTTTGCACTCTGGCCTACATATCTTGGATTTTACCACATCAGTGATGGCTAGATGTCATACCTTACACAATATAGAGACTGAAGACCAAATGCGCTATCTACACAGCAATTTCTGCGACTCGCTGAACTGCATGAAAAGAGGTGCTCTTGCTGCCCACAGAGCATGGCAATTAGTTATACCAACGGCTAAATTTACAGCCATCCAGATGATCCTCATGTAACTCAGTCCTCTCCACTTCTAGTAAAAGAAGGGAAATGAGAACATGAGGATAGGACTGGGAGGGTTGCACAAGGCTGGCCAGTCTTCAGCACAAGTGGTCAGTGGGAGCTGGTTTCTCGCAAGCCTGGCTAAGCCTCCTTGTGCCCTAACAAATTACTACAAATCAGCTGAAGCAGTGGTAACTGCAGCCTGTAAACTCCTGGTATATGCAGAGGAGCAGGAGTCTGCACAGTGAACCTTCTGAGATCAGTTGTTCAGCAGAAACTGCTGTGACTTTGCTGAACTCACTTATGAGCAAAGCTGGGAGCCAGGGAGGAAGGAAATGCAGACCTGGGAAGGTGGAAGTAGGTGAAAGACAGCAGAGAGTAAGAAGCACAGGTTTGTGACCTCAAATGTTTTTTTCATGATCTAGACATGCCTGGGCTCTTTGTCACTACAAAATCAGCCTAACTCTTGACAGTGTGGCACCCTGCATGGGAAGCAAAGGTAACATGTAACTGCACACATAACTAGGGAATTTTCATTTTTGTTTTCTTTCTCCAACCATTTGTACTTGCAAAGCAGATATAAATTCCTACACCCACAAAGACAATATACTAAATATCATAAAACAGATTCTCTGAAATTCTACTGAGCTTCCCGGGCAAATAATCTATCATCATCATCAACAGTCCTCCAAAACAAGAGGGCATGTGTTTATTAAGTATTTAACTTAATCTAAGGAAACACATAATCCAAAGTTTGGGCCAACACTGTTCACTAAAAAAAATGCCTTGCACTTTGTACAGTTGCTGCTATAGTCCCTATAATAAGGTTACAGTTTGTGCTCTACTATGTCATAACAGCTATGCGCAGCATGAATAAATGAAGAGAAAAATTCCGTTCAAACTGAAAAGTTCCTGATTTTTATAGATTCAGGTTAAATTCCTTAAAAATATTTGAGGAGGAGAGGGAGAGAGAAAAGAGGGTCATCTAATAAGATATCTACTAAATTTACAGCTATGCAAACATTTTTGTTAGGAGAATGAAATCTGAATAGTATCTGGAAAACATTATAAAAACACCATTGAGCAGATCAACTTCATAAAATATTATAACCCTCTTTGCTATCTCCACAGTTTTACTAACTGCAGAAGCCTCAGGTTCAAAGTCATGACACCATACCTTCCTGTAACATGAAGTTATATCCCATATCTAAGATCCCCTTCACTTCACAATCCAAGCCTTTTGTGCTGTGAAATTAGTTATGGTCAGTCAGTTCAGTATCAGATCTACTATAGACAAGTAGGCCACATCTGCATAGTCACTTTACCAACACAAAAAATGGTTTGTCTTGGCATTACTAGCCAAACCAATTTCCACTGCTGTAAACTTTGTGAGGCTCATGCCTCATATGGCCAAAAACAAAAAACAATCCTTATTCCAGGCATACACAGATAGAGATAGATAGATAGATAGATTTTTTTTAAGATCCACATAGACAATTCTAGGAAGCATGAATCTATTTTAGATTCAATGAAGCCCCAAAAATTTTTGGGAAGCCTGGACAAGTTCTCAGCAAGCAAACAAGGCATTGGACACTACAAAGCATGAGAAGGTCATCCAGAGGAACCAGGTAGCATTCTGCTCACAGGGAGGATGGAAAGTAACTATATGTGTTCAATGTATCTGTCAGCAGTGACTCTTCCATTTTAGACTGGAGTGAAGATAAAACATCAAGTTTGCTGTTTTTCCTTAATCTAAGGAGAAAAAGAAATTACAAAGATAAGCATACTTTCATCCAATGTGTCTAATTGCTCAGCTAAGATCTCTCTGGGACTGATGTGAACTACCTTTAAAGGAATCCGAGCCAAAATAGCTTGGGAAAGTTCAAATCTGACAGAAGTCTCTGGATAGTTTTCATCTACTTTAAAAGTAGACCAAACTAAAATTCTGCATCTCACACAGCTAGTCCTCAAGGAAGCCTGGAGTTACCTGCAACTCTCTCCTACATCTTAAATTTTGCCTAAAACTTTATCCTGGGTGTCTATGTACTATTGTGGTGCCACCCAGGAGTATTTTTTCCTGCAGTAGCTATCCCTTCATTTAGACGACTGCTCCAACTATATTGATTAATATATTTTTAATAAAAGGTATAGCTCATCCTTGAAGCTTAACAACATCACTTCCGAATTAAGACACATCATTAGCCCAAGGCACACAGGTCTGCTGAACAGTGCTGATGCTGGACAGCATCAGAATACATTGGACTGGATACAAAAGAAAAGCTGAGAAGCAGAAAGTCAACATCATCACTTAGATACCCCAAGGTGAATGTTTAAGGGGAGTTTAAAGCTTTGACCTTTCAGCATATCATGTGGAAAGCCTTTGTAAATACTTCCAACTCAGGTGACCAAATTCACTATTAGTTTGTTGATTCCCACGTTCCAGAATAAGGATATTGTAGTGCAATTCTGCAGGGCTGGGAATGCAGTTTATCATCAATTTGTAAGGCACATATGTCATAAAGAAATAAGAACAGTGACCTGGCTGCAGCTTTTGCCTGTAATTCTGGGAAAGCGACATGGCCTCGGACGACATGCTCTATCTGAAAAAGAAGAAAGCAACATTACTGGAATGAATACATCCTAAAAAGTCAGTCCCAGAAAAGGGTAATGCAGCATTATAACTTCTAAAAGCCAGGAGAGCGTCTCAATTACTCACGAAGTGTTAAGTCCTAACCCTAGCGAAGCCAAAGACAAAACTCCCACTGACATTACGGGATTCAGAATTTGGCTTAAAAACAGTACAGAAAACAATGCTAAATCAAAAATAAGCAAAATGCTAAGTTTACAGCTCCTCAGTCAGAAGAGTAAGCTGAAAGAATGATCTTTGCCTGTCTAACAATATCTAAGCGCATGTCTACAAACCCCTCCCATTCTCTTGCATGCACACCTACATGGGAATTCTACCAGAAATATCTGCCTGGCCCAAATCCCTACATCTTTCTGTATCATTGTCTAAAAAAAAAAAAAATCAGGTGTGTTGTCATCCTAGTACATGCTCAGTATGTTCACTGCAGGAAACAAAATGTTTGTCCTGACAAGCAATTATTGCTACCAAAAAAGCTCAATATAGACTCTGTCTATACTAAATTTATATAACAGCCGGTCCTACCATTATTCACAAAACAAAGTGTCATGTAGGATCACAGACAGTAATTGAGCAGCTTTTGTGGCCTCTTGCTAATACCCCATCAGAGGTGACAGTACAGATAAGGAGGCAAAACTAGTGCTACTCAAAAACATTGAATATATTTGGCAACACCTATTGGCAGCGAGTCACATCATTAGCTATTTAACTTTTAACAGTGTGAGTCTGGCCCTTAACAGTGTAGTAAAACTTATATAACAAGGCATTTACATATGAATATATAGCAAGAAAACATAATGCGTGCTTGTTACTTCTGAGATTTGCATCTAAGACAAAACTCAAGCATGCAATGCATTAGAAACAAAGCTCTGGATTGAATTTTGCAATCTTAAATAATCTCTGTAGAAAATACTTAATAGGAAGAACTTATAAATTCAGAAATAAATCTGTAAACAAATATCATATATACATGTGTGCTATGAAAATATTTTACACAAGTGTTACAGCACTTACAAAGTTACATATTGAAACACTGATTTCAAGAAATGACCCATCAGCTATTCTCTATTTTACAGTTAATGTAATGTAATGAAGTAATACCATTCTTTGTCTCTGCTATGCAATATCTTTCTTCCTATACCTTCTGAAAACTCAACACAAAAGCCTAACTAGCAGACAAACAGACAAACTTTTTCAAAACAAGCAGAGTCACTAATTCTTCATTTGGACTCTGCGTGGATCTATTTTCAAAATCCAATAGTTTTTTTTATAGTTGTATCAATAAAAGGTTAATTAGCGATTTTTAAGGAGAAGCGTATCTGACTTACTTGTAAGTTCAACAGACTATTCAAATTTCATGAAAAAAATTCACTTTTGAGCATAGACCAAGAAATGAAAATAATCTCCTGAAACGGCCATTTGTTTTCAGAAAACCAAAAGTATGAGCAAGTAGGATCTTAAAGTACTTTAAAATTACAATGATAATGGATGCAGCCTATCCTCCACACCAGTGTGCACATACACTGTTTCTTCTTATGGCTCCCCCATGTGTTTTGTGTACATATAACCTCAAGAAGACCACATGAAATATTCTAAGAATGTTTTAATAAAACAGCTTCCCTAATATACCTAATAGTACTTACCATTGACTTTTGCTATGCGTCCTATCAAGAACACACATTTTTCCAGCAATTTCTTAAATGACCCAGGAACATCTTGTTCTCTGGTACTAGGATGGAATCCAAATATCTGTAATTACTGAAAAGCATTTTTTTAATTGTCTTTCTGAAGTACCCTAATTCTCACAGCACATGTAGTATGGAACCACCCTGAGCCAGCCAGCAGAAAATACTGACCTGCTGCATCCTCTCTAGAGCTCAGTGAGTATCCCCATACACTTTGAATTAAGTACATTGAGACCTCGCCTCTCAAAAGCGCTCTTACGAAGAAAGGCACAAGCTTTTCTGTTTTCCTTTTAAACTGGTGTCATCATGAGCAGAAGCTAACTTTTATTTGTGGTTGTAACCACTGCTCACAAAATGGGATGCTTTGGTTCTAGCCCCATCTTGGCCCAAGGAATTTAAGACCTACACATCCCACCTGCTGGGAGAGTGCTTTAGCCATGAGGCCAAGGAGAAGCCAAAGATGAGGAGAGAAGCAGAGGCTGCAGGAGAGGAAGAGGGATGACTGTCCCACTGAAGCAGACAGGAACGCAAGGTTCACGTGGCCAAGGACAGAGCACAGGAAGGAGCACCAACTCATAACTCCGTGGTTAGGGTGTGTCTCGGCTTCCTGCTCCAGGATTATTTCTGTTTCTCATTTGGTGATTGTTTCGTATGGAATGCATAAATGCAGTGAGGCCCAGGTCTACTATATTTCCTGGGCAAGTGCTCCGACCACTCAGCTTTTAAAAAGGTGGGTGGTGCTATGTCTGAGTAAGACAGCAATTATGCCTGCAATTTGTGAAAAGCCTAACCCACCTGTCTGTTTGGTGAACTTACAGAGGATACCTGCAGGACTGGGCCTGCTCCCTGTAGGGTCTGAATCTCAGCATGAACCTGGCACCTCACTGCTCTAGGCAGGGCTGGGCAGCTCTGTATTCAAACAGACTGAGCAGGGAGACACATGGGGAGTTTTAGAAGCTTTCAGGATTTAGCAGCCGCTGAGGTCTTGATCACAATTTTGGAGTCAAGCACCAAAAGTCTGCCTAAATACTGTTTTATACACCTAGTCTTTCTTCACATTTGACTGCAGTGTTTTTGTTCTGAGTGCCTTCCTGTAGGTAAGAAAATTCAACTTTAGAGGATACAGTCTTATTTTTATTTGTATTGATAAACTAATTTAATCTAATATAGCCAGCCTCTTGGCACTCAAAGAAATAACTGAGATGATAACAAATTCAGGATCGATCTAGACAGGCTAACATACTAATATCTTACTACTCTGTGCCCAGCATGCCTTCCACTTATCTATGCCCATCAATGAGCACAATTCTTCCATATATTGCAATATATATATATATATTTTTTTTTTCCTATCTCAAAGTCTGTCTCAGCCTCCTACTAAAGTACAGAAAGAATGCCTATTCGCTTGCAAGATAATAACAACAACAATAATAGGTAGACATGCCCTTGGTGCTCTGCCTCATCTATAATCCCCTCTCAGGGGAATGAAAAGGAACAGACTTGTGCAGGACATAACAAACAAGTAACTGTTTATTGCTTTCCACAGGATAACTTCTCCTTATCTTATGAAGATGTTGCAGGCAGAGCTCTAGTTGAACTGTTAAGTGAAGCTATTCCCAATGACAGGAGGTATGACAGGCCTGCCTTCCTGAAGTCTGTTTGCGTCTCCAAACACTTACCAGTTTTCCGGTAGCACTCTGACCTCCTTCATTCAACCAAAATCCAGGCACCATAGCAGAGAAGTAAGGTCCCCAAACACCAGGCACAAAAATGGGTGTTTCACTTATCTGGAAAAGTAAGAGAAAGCTCTGGTGAATCAAACTGCCTGTCAAACTACGTACTTCACAACTAACTATTAGCAGCTATCAGAGCCTGATATTGAAAACAATTACTGCTTCTCGACTGGAGTTACCAACGCGAATGGAGATGTACAGGTGGAGATTTACCATAAGGAGAACATGGAGAAACATGTCCCCCAACTTGCATCATTTTTAGATTACGTGACACAGCTGCAGCTACTGGTTGCACAACTTCTTACCCCCCCGCCCCGCTCCTACTCACAGAACAGCTGGATCTGACCATGTGGAAGAGTATTTTCAGGGATAGGAGCTGTACCTCACATGGAGGGAGAAACTGCCCTGTTCCTCCAAAAAAAACACCTTACTTTAAATGAACATGTGGATGAAGTGATCTAAGATCTGTCAGAGGGCTTGAAACCCTGACACTTGCAGTGGAGCCCCAAGCTCCTGGTGCTCTGCACAGTGATGGCGGGGGACTTAGGGGCCTTGGGTGGAAGCTGCAAACATGGGCTGAGTAAAAGGGGATTTTCTTGTGTTAGCCAACTGGAAACACTTGCCTAGGTAAACTTCCGATTCTGTCCTTTACTTGGGCTTAGCCTTACACAAAACATTTCTCCCTTCACGTCTGTGAACCCTTTCATGAAGGCAGGTACCAAAGCACTCTCTTTCAAACTGTACAGGGCTGTATTCTACCGCTTGCATACAGATATACCACCCACATATAGAGTGATGTCCTGATTCTATACAATATTTTTAGCGGTTAGACCATTCAGGATGTGGGAGACACTGGTTCATTTCCTTTCTCTGCTTCAGAAGATGCAAATTACTAGTTTAAAAGGGTGGAGGGTATTCTTCCTTCCTTCTATTAAAGCTGTTTCACTTTCTCTGGTCTAGATAGATGCTGGTGCAGAAAGATAGTGTAAGGAGATATGAACTATAGTCTAGCAAATAAGGCGCAGAAAGGGGTGGGTAATGGCAGGGAGGGACTTGGGTCCTAGTACTTGCTACAAAGGCTATTTATATATTCTGCACTGGTTCAATACATTAATAATTCTTGCAGCAGAGGCTGGAGAAGACAGGTCACCCGCTCCCCCAGGCAGGCTACCTGGCTTCTGTTTGAAGCATGACTCATGTCTTCTCTTCCAGGACTAAGAAGCTCAATACCTTCGAGGTATACACATCCATGATTTTCCTGGGAAAGGGGCATGGCAGTGCAGTCCTACACTGTCGTATGATGCACAAACATACTTCCCATTGGCCAATGTTAACGGCCAGGCTAGATCTGCAGCTGTAGTTCTCTAGAAGGTGGGAAGCACTCCAAGAGAAGGAAACGAGATTTCTGTAACACCATTAATCTATGTATTTTCAACATAGGGACTCCTAGAAGGGTTGGTGTGGATTTAAACTTCATCAGCAAAAAGAAGGTTCTCATACAATAGGACAATGTTTTTTGTATTTAGATGTTGCTCTTCATGAGCAAATTCCTAGACCCACTGAGGTTGCCCGAGGTTTGCTATTGATTACAATAGGCCAGGATTTCACCTCAAAATTGTTTTCATGAGTAATCATTAAAAATCCCAGCTCTGTTCCTGTTAAACTCAATGCACGCTCTCCCTATGTTTAAACAGGCCAAACTTTAAAGAGTTTTTGCTATCAGCTAGGGAATATGCTCTGAGACATAGTTTACTGGCATTTGTGCCTCACACATGTTTAGTAAATACACCAGCAGGGAGCTTTCTGCACAAACAATAGTCTGCTGAAGCCATCAACTTACATTACAGCTGACTCTTGTCAGGAACATGAAGTTAAGCAGGAAAACAAAGAAACAAAGACTGTTTTCTCAAAATACATCACTACAGTTTCAAGCAACTCTGATTTCTCTTGGGAATACATCCACAAGTAAGAGAATCTTGCTCAATTCTCCTCCATCAGTTCTAATGTGTTGACTTACTTTCACTAAAGATGTTTGCATGTGTGCACATTGCGTGTGTGCATCCACGTAAGATTTTGGCCGACTAAACTCGTTAAAGAGCAAGAATAGCCGCACTGAATTTAAACAGGCATTTGTCCAAGTGGACAAAGCTGCGTCAAAAACATTGCAAATACATTTGTTTTTGTTTTGTTTTCTCTTAAAACTACAAATGAATATATCTTTGAGTTTTCAGCAGCTCTATGAGGTAAGCCTTCTCTTACCATCTTAATAACAAAAAGCCGTGCAACAAAAAGTATTGAGTAAATGCTCCTAAAATTTAAAAACTTAAAATAACCTGATTTTTAGACCAATTCCACATCACTGACCTTACTGAGAACACAGCATTTGGCCAAGATTGCCACTTAGTACCTGCTCCAAGCTAGCGATGGAAGTAGGAAAACAAGCCGTGTCCCATCTCATTCTTTTCCTCTAGTTCTGGATAAAAATGCATGTCTCTAAGGCTGAGAAGGGACACTTAGGGTAGGATAGGCCTGCATTTTTCAAGTCTCACCTCAAAATATTTTTGATGCAGCAAAGTTTGTAATACTCTGTACTCTCTGATCTGTGATGAAAGAATCTAGTTATGCCACGTATATCAAGCGTTTTTAAAAGCACTGAGCTATGCCCAACTGCTAAGTAGTCTGAAGAGATAGGCTAAAAATACCACAGGTGCAATGCCCTCTGACAAAAAAGCTTTATGAATGCGTGGAAAGTTCTAGGCATCAACAAGAACAACACAGTTTAAAAACTTTTTCCTATTGATTGATTTTTATTTTTAAAGTAAATATCATCCTTCCTTGAAAGTTGAAATAAGTATTCATAGGGAGCATCAGGCTTTATGCCTTCTATTTAACTTAAATCCATTCTCTAACATACTCTTATTGTGAGGCATATTAACATTGATTATTTTTTACATATCAAGAAGCTGAAGCACAAAGAGGGTATAGTTGCATGCCCTCATGTGCAGAGGGAGCCAGTGTTAGAATGCTTTCTGCACAATAATTATTGCAGCAGGTGTTCGAAGATGGGAGACAAGAGGAATTTGAACCACTTTACATTTTGAGTTGTAACGAGCATCTATAAATATTTAAGTTAAACACATTCACACAGACTATGGCCTCATCTATGATGTTTACTTATAGAAGTATTACACTCTTTGAAGAGCAAATCCACCACACGGTGTTCTAGCTGTGGGTAGGGAAGAATTCTTTTGTGCAGGAAAATGCCACCTTTCCACATTTCTCCAACATGCACATTCCCACTTGCTCAGGCCATCATTTCTGATGATACATTTCTAAGATTTGGGTTCATCAGAAGGGAGAAATAAGTTCAACATCTCCTGAAAGGGAGAAGAAGGGGAAAAAAAAGTGCTATCTGGGAGGATTTAACCTCAGTGTGTGCTCTATAAAAGATCGTTCTAATATGTAAGATATGTAAACATTATAGAGCAATCAGAAACAAATTAAACGATGAATTCAGTTTAACAGTATTCAGCTGTGGTGCAACTGCCAGAAGGCACTTTTTGTTATGAATAGATCATTTGGATGAGTTACAGACCAGATTTCAACCTGGTGTGTGCTAGGAAAATCAATGTCAAACTATCTAAGATCAGAAGGTATCAGCAGCACATCTGGCAGCCCACAGAAATGAAAAATGTCTTTAAAATATATAATGCTATATAGAACTAAGTTCTAGTATGAAAGGACCTGCTTAAATGGCACTGAGATCTGTAATGTATTTAGTTCAGTCTAGTCTTTCCCACTCGCCTCTCCCTCTAAAACAAAAACAGATGAAAAAAATCCACCTCTATTGCCGAAGTTTATGTGAAATAAAGCACTGCTTACCAATTACAGTTGTAGGGTAACTTACAGCTAAGTGAATCAAAGGAGTCAGTGCCTTTAATCCAAACTTAAGTTCAGTTTCCAGGACTGGTATGAGGAATGGCAAAGAATGCAAACCTTCAAAGAGAAGAAGCACCTAGGTACACAGCCCCATTTCATACAGTGAATAAGTCACAATGCAAGATTCATTTTACTTAGCTTTGTCTTGCTAAACTAGCCATAATGACCAGGCACATGCTTGTGTTTCCTCCTCAGTTTTATGTAAATGTTATAGTAATCAGAGACAAGATAAAACAAAACCCGCCACAGTTGTTGAGAGCAGTTTTATGGAAGCATGGATTCCAGTAGAATTTTCTTCCTTAGTTGACATCATCTGTTGCTGGTGTAGGCTTACACAGATCCCTACCGTAACACTATTTGAGAACCTGGCTATTACCTGAGAAGCAAATCTCTATCCTAATAGGCTATACTGCTATATATGCACCTTCTTCCATTTTCATTTTTGCATCCTAACATTGGGCATCTGATATCTGGCAGCGTTCTAGTATCAGTGTAAAATTCTCTATGTACTTGCAGTACATCTTAGACAAAACCTATGTGCAGTGTGGAACTATTCTCGACTTATTTACAAAAAAAAAAAAGCAAAATTAAGCCTTCATTCTACTGTCAGTGTTTTTTTAGAGTAATCATTTGTTAATGAGAAGCTAGGTCAGAAAATTTGTCTGAAAATCATTTCACTTATCAGCTTCTATAGTTAGAAATTCAGAATAACAGCTGCTCTTTTTAGGCTATGGCACATATGAAAAAAAGATCTAAGATATTAATGGAGGGAAGGGAAAGAAAGAAGGAATAGCACAGTATCAATCAGCAACAAATATATGCTCCTTATGGTTCAGGACTTTGATCACTGACAAGTCAAATACTTTCATTAACTTCTTTGCTGACTTTAGCTTTCAAACTTTCTGACTGACTGTGGGCTGGAATACTGATATTCATTAAATTCAAGGGTTTTACACTGATGTGTAAAATCCTCTATTAAGAAAATGATATCATTTCGCTTCTGCTGACAGATGGGCCTTATATAGCTACTTGACCACAACTTTGTGACAAAGAACGAAAGAGATTCATAAAAAGGAGAGAATTCAAAGGGAAACCCAGTAATGTTTCATTTCTAG